TGAATACAATGACTGAATGAATGAAAAACAAAACGATGTTGTTGTTTTCAATGACGTTTCGCTATTTAATGCTGCTGCTAATGTAGCTTTATCAAAGCAGTATTATTAATAAACCAGAATTTACAAAATCCACTCAGCATATATATAACAAAGAGTTAAGGGGCTAGAAAATAGACTTAGATCAAGTTAAAGGGACATATTGAAAGTCAAAATAGCAATGAAGATCACCAAATCAAATAACAAAGGTAATAGTAATAGTACGTCTGTTATGATGTCAAAACAAAGTTTACTAACTTGATCATCCTCCCTCAGCATGGGATCATTTTTGCGTTGTCAAATTGACCGATTGGTAAAGATAACAAAACCAGATGTAGATTGTTGGATTTGATCAGTGTGTAAAATTATAGAAACAGCGCGTGTTGATTTTGTTACTTCATGAGGGAGTGGGGGGAGGTGTTGTAACCAGATCAGATTCTGTTTTAGTCCATCATTCCTAATCAGGTAATTTGGATTCCATTTGATGATATGAAGTGCTTCTGATATTAGACTTTCTTTGTAATTTCTGAAATGCCTTGTCTGGATTATTTCAATATTGTCAAAATCAATTTTGTGGCCTGATTCTGCAGCGTGTAGACCTATGGCTGGCTGATTATTTTTTCAAGCTTTTCTAGTACAGTCGAACTTCTTGGTGGTCGAAGAGATGCTCTACGGTGTTCATTTCTTCTGATTTTGATTTCTTGAAATGTTTCTATGATGTATATCACATCACATTCCAAGCAAGCATTTTATTTTATAGACACAAATAGACACAGAATCTTTCGGGATTTGGTCTTTTATATGGACAAGGTTGTTTCGTAGTGTGTTTGATATTTTGAAGAAAACTATAATGTCGAGCTGAGTGAGTACTCTACTGATATCGTCTGACGTCTCTGCTGTATATGGAATGACGACTGTTGAGGTCCATGTTTTCGGAATGCGTTTTCGGCCAAACTTTATGTCTGTGTTGATTTTGTTGATGAAGTTCGTTGGGTAGTTGTTTTGCTTGAGGAGAGTTTCAGTAATGTTTGATGTTTCTTTTTCTTTCTCATCCATTATCAATCAGAAAGTGTGCTCGTCTAAGAAGACTTGAAACAACTGAAATCTTTGCACTGATGAGGTGTGATGATTTGAAGTTTAAATATTTATTGAAGTGGATATACTAAAATGTCCGTTTTCCTTTCTCTTAACTAGGCAGTCTAGAAATGGTAGTTCACTGACGTCTGATTCTGCTTCCGAAGTGAACTGGATTCTGGGAGATACACAGTTTATTTTCTCCAGGAATGAATTGTGTAGATCTCGTTTTAGTACTACAAAAGTATCATCCACATATTTTAACCATATTTTAGGAGTGAGTATACTTGAAAAGATGTTATTTTCGAATTTAATTGAATCCGAATTGTCTGAATAGGAATGATGGACTAAAACAGAATGTGACCTGGTTACAACACCTCCCCCACTCCCTCATGAAGTAACAAAATCAACACAAATGTGATATGCAAGTTCACTATGTAAATACACACTTCTTTTACTATTATACACACTGATCAAATCCAACAATCTACATCTGGTTTTGTTATCTTTACCAATCGGTCAATTTGACAACGCAAAAATGATCCCATGCTGAGGGAGGATGATCAAGTTAGTAAACTTTGTTTTGACATCATAACAGACGTACTATTACTATTACCTTTGTTATTTGATTTGGTGATCTTCATTGCTATTTTGACTTTCAATATGTCCCTTTAACTTGATCTAAGTCTATTTTCTAGCCCCTTAACTCTTTGTTATATATATGCTGAGTGGATTTTGTAAATTCTGGTTTATTAATAATACTGCTTTGATAAAGCTACATTAGCAGCAGCATTAAATAGCGAAACGTCATTGAAAACAACAACATCGTTTTGTTTTTCATTCATTGGGAAACACAAAAACCTTTATCAAATTCCTACTCTTGAAAATAATTCCTATTTTGTCAAATATATGTGATATTTTCCCTCTCACTGTGGTACACCTAGGTGTGTTTTAAAAAACTAGCAATGATACATTATTTATGAGTTACTTATCGTTGTCATCAACTATATTTAGTCAGAATGCATCCTTTTTGTACTGATTTTAGACAGACAATTTGTTATTTCAGTTACCTTTGCTTGTTGTATAATGTCAAACTCAAAATATATACATATTACTGTTTAACTAACTAGATTTTGGACAAAGGAAACAACACTGAAGCTAGAGTTTATTACACTACTTTACTGAAATGGGAAAAAAGCCCAAGGACTGTAGACAGTGTTTGAAGAGAAATCGTATAGGGTAAATGCATACAAGAGTTTAATCAATCATTGAAACTGAAGAACCGGAAGTTATAAAGTATGATTTTGACAGAACACTGCCACTTGGATTGCATAATCTATTATGTAACACTAAGGTGAATTTAGTAAGCATAGTAGATGTCTAACGAATACATTATTCATAGTTTTGGGAAGAATATAATGGAAGAGCTTTTAGTTCCTAAATTGATTTTGTCCTACGTAACTGGATAAAGACAATAGTTGTAGTGGAAGATTCGGTTGTCGTATAACTTAGGATAGTGATCTTTTATTTGTGATATTTGTAGCGACTAAAATCCATATGTTATGCTCTGACGGTAGGAAATAATTTTCTGCCTGAAAGTGAAACATCACCTTTAAATAACCCTTCAGTCTTCGTAAGTCGAGTTCATTTTCTAAGTGTTACATTTCTGACTTTTGTCTAGTCTGAAGCTCACGTAATTCTAATTCCTGTTCGCACCTAAACTCATCTAAGGCTACTGTACAGTTAGGCTTAACATGACCACTAACTAAACTCAGAGGAGAGACAATGACATGAAAATGAATCATGAGAGACTCGCCGTATGTTTGGAGGTACATGCGAGAGCGCTATATTCTCCTTTTTCACGCTAGTTTTCGTAACCATCTTCTTTGTGCGGTTGCAAGGCATACTGTCTCGGTATGTCGAGAACTGTAAAGACAAGAGCCAACGTGTTGTACTATAAACGGTAGAAACTAGTCTTTGCGTTCTACTGTATAGCTAGCTGATCAAAACTTCAGTGAGTTAAAGCCACAAAATGCCACAAAGACGGTAAAAAGACAATTATTTCCAATAAAATCTGAGGTATTGTTTAACAATAATAACATATGAGGAACTCAAAATTATTTCAGCAGCCTCATCAGGTAGCTAAACAGACCCAATAGTACTACACAATCACATTAGCGAGACCAGAAATTAACTGTAAGAAGTACCTCAGAATCAGAGGAAATATTCCCAACAAGATGGGATGATAACTCAGCAAGAGTCATACACAGTGGACTTCAACCAGGAAGTCTTCACCCATCCCCCTACTACGTGGCTTAAACGAAGTATTGTGGATTTGATAGACTGATGAGGCCATATTTTGGTTTGACCAAAATTAGCTGATTTTCAACCTGATTCATTCTATGTCAGCTAACATTTCACAGTGAGGAAGGCGATGTTCAAAATCGAGAAAAACATGTCCTAACCATTTCAATCGATGTAGCTTAACAACCTCGTTGATTGATTTTTCCTGCCTGCCTAACACTCGACCGAAGCCTAATCTCAGTATTACTCACACTGTTATGCGATCTAACACAGGAGATAGAACTCCAACACCTATGATTAAAGACAGTTAGAGGGGCTTTTCATAAAGGAAGACGGAGTACACATGCACTTTGATGGTAAGCGAAGAGTGTGGTTGTTAACCTGACATCCAACCTTCGACCTTTATCAGGCTTACTGTCGGCTAGACATAGTTTATGAGAGAGTCAGTAGGGGAAACCAACTTCTACTTCTCGTGGGGTTGACAGTATTCTACAGATCATTCCCTCAGAACAAGACAGATTTCTAATAAATAAATAACCCAGCTCCGATCTCATTCTCTTCTGTTTGAGGTATCATGTAAGTATGAAAAGAAGTCTCGCTGCCAGAGACTAACTTGTGTCCTTCCAGCTTTTCTATAACTTCGAATAGCTAAAAACAAATCTTTCAATACAGCTGTAACAAAATAATTGTTTCAGAGATCCTTCCCGAACGATCTAATTACACTATTGATGCTCACTTGGATGCTACAACTAACTAGACTGCTATCATTTTTCTGATGTTTGCGCATCCTTATTATTTGTCTTTGTTCCTGGTTGTGTGATGGTATTGGTAATCTGTTGTTTTACGACTACGGTCTTGCTTGACTGTGTCAAGATCATTCTAACTTTGGAGTTCACTTAGAAATTGTTTGGTGCGTTATTCTTCTTGACGGAATTTTTTGTCTCACCTTGTTGGGAACATTCTTCTTGGCTCTCAGGTGCTCCACATGGTTGATTTAGGCTATGTAATTCAGTTATTTAGTACCTAATGTTTAACTGGGAATGAACCGAATCTGTATAGCCAGCTACCTAGCGGGATTATGAGGTGATTTTTACTATTTGATATATTGCTGTCACAAAATAGTGCTATGGATTTATCGGAAATAACTGTCTTTTTGGTGTCGTCAGGAGATTTTGTGACTGTGAGAGTAACTCAACGAAGATTTGGTCAGCTATTCAACAGAATTCTAGGATTGGTTTTACTGGATTTCGACCCTAACACTGGGTTTAATTTGCTTCTATTGCCAGTGTGTCAAGTTGCTTTCAAATGAACGTAAAAGGTATGAGTGTTACCTCAGAGAAGAAAACTTAACATCTGTCTATACCTGAGTAAGCTGGTGTAAATCTCACCACTATATTTATTACGTGAAAAAGGTCATTTGATGTCACCTTGAGGTAATAAGTGATTAAATATTATTGATTACAAAAACAAAACGATAAGCCAGTCAAATAAGTGCAAATAACTCTGCACCTGAGTTCATTTGAACTGCCAATATATTTTGCTTTTTATCACAAAAACGATTATTGTTGAGAGAGAAATAGAGAACTATGAGTAGTCCGGAACAGACGGAATCGAATAGTTTTAATTCCGATGTGCCAGTGGATGCGAAAAGAGAGAAAGATGATTCAACAACTGATGAGAAAACAGAAAGTTCTAAACAGGCAGTTATACCAACTTCAAGACAAGTGGGTGATAGTTCAAGCGGTGAGATATTATCTATATGTATATAAATATATGCCTTTTTAAACTAATAAATGCGTGTATATAAATAGAAATTTTACGGTCAAATCAAAGCAGCAGTCTAACAGAAAGTGATCTACGCACCACCAGCAGCAATGCAGCAACTGTCAGTTTCACTGAAAGTGAACGGACTAGCCGATCGAGTAGTTTTGAGGGGGATAAAGATGATGACAGCAGTGATGCTGATAACACAAGTTCAACTGACTCAGAGGATGACGATGATGATGATGATGGTGATGATGAAGAGTCGGATAAAACAAGTCAAATGGCTGATTTTTCTGGTCAAGGCTTTAATATGGTGCCATCGATAATATTTCATAGTAAGTGATTTTTATCCTCTAAGCTTATTTTTATGCAAAATGTTGTTGCTAAAGTTTGGTTTGTAAGGCTTAGTTTTGCCTTTACGAGTTGATCACGGATTGATATCAGTTAGAGAAACATTGAATACCAGCAACAGGGAGTACTGGACAGCTGTTTCTTCTTAGTTTTTGGAATTATAGGCAGTACACACCCACTGGGATTCAAACCCAGGATCTTTGGGTTACAAGGCGAGCTCGCATACCATTCAGCCACTGGGACCCACTGACGATACTGGTTGGGGTCGCGCTAAATTACTAATTGGTAGAAGTTAGAATTCATGCCTTGACCATTGAGTCTGGTCCCATTGTCTAAATGGTATACAAACCAGCTTGTCTTGTAACCCAAAGGTCCTGGGTTTGAATCTCAGTGGGTGTGTACTGCCTATAATTCCCAAAACTAGGAAGAAACAGCTGTCCAGTACTCCCTGTGGCTGATATTTAATGGTTCTGTAACTGATATCAATCCGTGATCAACTCTTAAAAAGCAAAATGTTGTAATTATCTGATAAGGGCCTAATTTATTTCGTCACGTAATGAAAAGTAATCTTTCTTCTTATTCGTTTCAACAAACCTGGCGGTCTGTTTAAGGCATGACCTACCAAAATACTCCACCAGTTTAGTTTGGCAGCATCTGTTAAGGTATGACCTCCAATCGTGTGTTTTCTACTCAACAGAGCATTCAAAACGTCTACCAGCTTCTATTAGGTTTGTGAAGACGCCTAACTGTGGGTGGCAGCGTATCCCTAATACATAGGATGACTATCCCTGAGATTCTTGGTACAAACTGCAACTCTCAAACATATAAAACTAACAACAACCTGCGGTTATCAATTATTCGGCCAATATGATGTCCTCGGATTTATAAAATATACTCCTGCACCTTTCGTAATTGATTGTCAACTAAATGTTGTTCGTTTCTCGGAGGAGGTTGAGAGGAAATATCGCAAGGGATTGGTGTTTGCTTGAGATCAGACAGCTGTGTGTGAAGCGATTTACTATCACCTACACTTTTTGCTTGAAGATCCTAGACGAAGAGAAACTATCATACAGTAACTTCCACTGGAAATTCTGTACATCGTATAAAGACTGCTCAAAATAAAGCTATTCTTGTTAATAAATTTAGGATGATTTTAATCCCTATATACTAGCGACAGAAGTTGAATAATCAATAATACGTCACACGAATGTTTTATTTTTCGCTTGACATTGTTGTTGTTGAGACAAAAAGAAAGAGTAGTCACACTCATTACTCTGCCTTATTACATCGCCTTATTTAGACATTGTCAAAGTTCAATAGCCTAATGTAATGGCGTGTTTGATGACATTTTCGACATCATGAATAGGGGAATATCTGAGATAAGATAAGGATCGATCTAGGAAATATCCAATGACCAATTTATCAGGTTGCCTTCATTCGCAGAAAACAAAAATATTCCCTAATCTATTGTTTCAAGTACGAAAAGGAATAAACACCTCGTTTCTCGGAGACTTTTTGTGCAGGAGAAAGATACGACTAAAGAGTCAAATCTTGGAACTCAACTTTATTCACATCAGAATAAGCCATCAGTTGTCATTTTATTTATTTATACATAACAATTGTTTTATTATGAGTATTTTTGTGAGCATATATCATATACTGTTTGACTGATATTGTGATTGGTGGTCGAAATTGAGGCAAACAAACCTAATTGACAGGAAGATTAGATAAACCTACTCACACAAACACAAAATAGTGTTTCACTTTTCTATCAGCTGATGACATCTGCTACTTATCGCTGAAGTTTTATCTTTCTTATGAAAATATTCTTCCATTGTCACTTGTGAAACAATAATGTCACTTACTGAAATTTGTGCAAAGTGGATATTATCGAAGTTGCATTAAAAACGTTTCTCCTCTTAATTCTATTGTTCCCTCGGAAAGAATAAATATTATTTCTGTAAGACATTATCTCCATATTCTGATTTTTCCCTTTCTTCACGAATAGAAAATAAGTCTTCGACTTCATTTTTTCTTGATCTTTGTGGCTGACTACAGCCGGCCCAGGATTTCCCATTTTCTTTCATCTCCTCCTCCTCCTTTCACGATCTTTTCTACGTCACTCTGGGACACATTCCCAACTCGTTGTTTCGCTCCAGACTTCCACTGGAACGAGGGCCTGCATTGCACATCATGTTATCCAACAGTCTCCTCAGTCTGTGTTGCGTCCATCTCCATTTTCTCCGGAAAATTTGTTGTGCAACAGGTTGTTGATTGATTTGCCACCTACCACAGTTTCGCTTTGCTAATTCTTTCTCAACACTCGACCATGTCATTTTCAGTATAGAGCTAGAGAAGTGAGCAGCTGTTGATAGAAGTCTGCATTAGCCCGTTGGAAATGATTTTCGTGAGGCATTCGCCAAGTTTCTGATCCATATACAAGGAGTGACTGACTCGTAGTTGGTGCTGAAGCTCCCACTGTGTTGTATCCTTATATCCATCCTTGTATCTTTGATTCTCGCCAGTTTTACCAACCTCATCTGTTCCGACTGCCTATAGTTGAAAGCATGCTTTCCAGAAACGTTAAGATATTCACCCGTTTCAAATTCCCTCCAGCTATAGCGATTGTGGTTACTGTGGTTGATTGGTTGATTACTTTTATTACTTCCACCTTTTTTACGTCCATTGCAAGTCATGTCTTCGCTTCTAGCCTCTTCTTCAAACTAGTTGGTTTTCGCCTCTAAGTCTTCGAGTTTGTATGACATTAGAAGCAAATCGCATGTGATGTCCAGATCTTCTAGAGTTTGCTTGTCAGTCCAAAGTGTTCCTGTCTACTCGCTCAGCACACTCAGTGCACCACATGATCCATTCCACCACAATTAGGATTAAAATCAGTGAAAGGAGGAAGCCTTGTCTTCACCAGTCACCAGCTCAAACTCACCACTGAGTTCTCCTCTGTGAAGCACCATATGTGCGGCATCAACATACAGCCGTATACTTGTAGCATTCTCCAAACCACTTTAGGGTCAACGCTGTTGAGAATCATAAAGGGAACTAATTGTTTCAGTTTTTCGTTTCAATGGAATTCAAACGGTGAAAATACAACATCTCTTGGGATTTAACACATTTGGACTCTATCGAATCTAAAGTTTATAGATTTTGAAGTATTTCGTGTTATATACAAGCAGTAGTTTGACATGTTAATTCCATTTATTTATTTTAAAGAAACAGAAACGTAATATACTACTGATATTATCGGCCTGATAATTTTCATGCTAGTATACATGCGAATAGATGCGCCGACATCTGTTTACAACCGGAAGACTATGAATTCGTCTAGAATCTTGAGTGTAGTACTCTTTGTCAGTCATGGGTAATTTTGATCCCATATTCAATTTGTATAGCTAAGTAGTGAAACTCTAATCGATTGATTCACTATGAAATAATATTCGAAGATAATTTTGTTCCTCTTAAACATGTCACTGTTTAGTAAGCACTGACTTATTGCCCTCATATGAATGTGTTAGCCCAGCTTATACTCCTACAGTGCGTCGGTGGCACAGCAGTTAGGACGCCCTTCTGCCATGCACATGGTCCACGGTTCAATCCCCGGCCACAGGATGCACTCCTTCACCTCGCTAAGCCAGAAATAATCCTGGTAAAGAGGAAAGGTTGGGCATGGAGCTAGCAACCGCATCCTGTAAAAATTAAACACTGCTACAGAAACTTCAAGCTTCTAGCTTGGAGCCTTACGTTCCTGCAACTCCTGCAACTACATTCTTCGTAAGTACCATTTTCAGAGACAAAAGAACAAAAAGATCAACAAACATATTTATTCCCGGGGTGTTCGTCCTCAAAAGCGACTGTACAATCGTATTTCTCTTATAAAGAACACAATATTCAGCGAAGAAACTCTTTTCAACAACGAACTTATTATCAAGCTGCACAATCGTATGTATATATCTACATATGGTTTTTATTGTAAGAAATTATATCCACTGAGGGAATTAGGTCAAAGGTGTGAATACATGATTTTATAATAGTAGTATGAAATGCAATTAAAATATTTGTGGTTATAATCCCTGTTAAATCTCAAGTAGCAAAACAATTAATGTCATATATAGAAAAATACAGTGCGTTCATAGCACAGCAGTTAGGACGCTCGCCGACCATGCACATGGTCCGGGGTTCGATCCACGGTCAGCGCACTCCTTTACCTCGCTGAAGCAGAAATATTGCTGGTAAAGAGGAAAGGTTGAGCATGAGGCTAGCGAACCCATCCTGTAAAATAAACACTGCTAAAGAAACTTCAAGCTACTAGATTGAAGCCCTATATTCCGCTGAAGAACGTGAAGGAAAGAAAAAAAAGGAAAAATACATAAAGTGTATAGATGTTGGAAAGGGGTACGTAATTATAGGATCAGTAAGCGAGAAAAAAGTGTTACATAACATGGTGTGAAATTCGATCCAATAGAATTCAATATTGTAAAATATCAATTTTGGATCTAGAATGGCAACTGGGTAAAGTGGAAACAATTCAGAGTGAGAATAGTAATAATAACAATAATAATAATAATAATCGCAGTAATAAAGTAAAGGTACATAGAGTAACTAAATAAAAAAATACATAAACAAAATAAATGTCCATCCCTCTACGACCAAGGCAGAAGTAGGGATTGTACATACTTCTTTTGTACACAAAGGTCTGGCTGGCTTAAAGTCATGAATGACTGATTCTCTAATTGATGTCAGCTCAAGATGAAATCCATTAAGTAATGAATTATAACCAAGACAGAGACATCACATATATTGTACATAGGAGAATGTTCTAGAATTCGAGGATAATTCATGCATCAAATAGAAACAACTGCCTTATTCATGTGCAAAGTTATCCAACCGAAGTGAAACAGGTCAAGGATGCAAAGATATTAAAAGTTAGTAGGGAAACAGATATCACACATATCAGCTGGTTAAAGTGAAAGAG